GCAGCCAACAATCACAGCACCCGAGCTGGTTAATGAATTACAACTTGCACATAATGTAACAATTAGCAGCAGTACTGTGAGAAATCGTCTCCATGAAGCCAATCTTCGTAGTCGGCGACCACTGAGATGTCCACCTCTACCTAGAGGCAATCGCGCTGCAAGATTAACCTGGTGTCAAGAGTTTCTGAATTGGACTGACCATGACTGGGCCACAGTTTTGTTTAGTGACGAGTCTAGGTATGGATTTCATCCAGATTGTCGTCGGACAAGAGTTTGGAGACGACCTGGAAATGGAGAACGATTACGACATCTTCAAGAAGTGTATGCATACAGAGGTGATACATTAATGGTATGGGGCGGAATCATGATTAACGGAAGAACTGACCTCATTTTCCCACGTGGCTTTCTCACAAGTCAGCAATATTTGGACACTGTCCTTGAACCTGTTGTGCGCCCCTTTGCTGCTGCTGTTGGAGAAAATTTTTACTTTATGCATGATAACGCTTGACCACACGTTGCGCATATTGTAACAAACTGGTTGGATAACGAGGGTATTGATGTATTGCCGTGGCCAGCACAATCACCGGACTTGAATCCCATTGAGCATGTATGGAACATGCTCCAACGAAGAGTTACTCCACATATGGGTAATATCTACAATGAGTTTCAATTAAAAGAGCTTCTGAGAGAACAATCGGCACAACTACCTCAAGCAGACATTAACAATGTGATTCGGAGCATGAACAGTAGATGTAGAGCTGTGATAAACCAACGTGGTGGCCATACTTTATTTTAAGTTTATATTTCGTATTTTTGACATTTTATGGTGGTATGTGAAACATGCGTGATTTGCAATTATTTTTTTTTTGTTCCAATTTTCTGTTTTTTTGCAATTTATGGTTTTTGACATAATAAACAACAATTTAAACTACAAATTTTGTATTACTTTTTTAAGTTTATTAGAGATAAAGAAAATACGTCTATTTATAAAAATATCCCTAGACTTTTGCGTTGTGTGTATAATAATCATTTCTATCAAAGGTGCCCCAATGGGATCCCCTCTTTCTCCCGTAATAGCTGATATCTACATGGAACATTTCGAAACAACAGCCGTGTCCTCATCAAATCTCAAACCCACCTGCTGGTTACGGTACGTTGATGACACCTTTGTCATTTGGCCCCATGGTAAAGGCACATTAGATCTCTTACTCTCCCACTTACATGGAATCCCAGTAGTTGACTCTGAAGCATCTTTGCGTTTCTTGATGTTCTTATTCAGAAATACCCACCTTACAGTTTTTACTATTCCGTGTATCAGAAACCCACTTATACAAACCGTTTTCTCAATACCCAGTCACGTCATCACCTCGCCCAACTGAATTCAGTTATCAACTTTTGTTTTTCGTTCCATAAGACTAAGCGACAACAATCACATATCATCCGAAATCAATTCAATAGGGCTAAACTCTTACAAAACGGCTACCACAAAACCCAAATGAATAGGACCATTTAAAAACATCTAAACTCCATTCCATCCAAAAAAGAAACCTTGCCACGTGATCAACCCAAAATCTTTCCAGCTTTTATCAAAAGTGTCACTGACAAGATCAGAACTCTTAACCATCTAAACATCAAAACCATCTTCATTACTCACTCCGAGTTGTCCAATCTCGTCAGATCTGTAAAAGACCAAATCCCCAATAAAGACCATGGTGTCTACGAGATACCTTGTTCCACTTGCCCACAAACAAACATAGAAGATTCAAACCGATGAATCCATAATCGTATTTATGAACATTCTATATTCTATATCTGTAAAACATTCCGATATACTTCAGCCTTAGCCCAACATCATATTCAGACAGACCACAAAAAGCTTTCTTTAGCTTTGATGCACATGCTTGCCAGTAAGGTAAATACTTACATTTTATCGCGATTTTAAGCTCATTGGCTATCGTCAGACATGCGCAAGTGTATACAAATTAAAATCCAGACACCGACAAGACCTATCTGCACATATTCCCTTCTAAATGGCAGCGTACGAAAGTTGCCATTAACTTTGAAGACTATGAACGAAAACAATTTTATAATTATTGTTTCCTGTCATAGCTTGTTTTTTGAAACCAATGAAAATATTTTCAAACAGACGGTCGACTTTAATTGTTATTATAATATATTTAATTTGTTTCAAATGTCAATTAACTGCCATAAATTGCCTTAGGATTTTTCTATTTATTTATATACTATACAATAATTCTAGAGAAATCTACATAAAGGATTTATGATAGTTAATAATCTACATTCCTAATTTATTAGTTGACTATAGAAATAAAGGACTTTCTGAAACCTGTGATTAAAATTTCAATATCATACATTATGACTTATGTAGATACACTAATCTTTATCTGTGTATAACGAATAAATGTTAACATTTTGTTGAAAATTTATTTAAATTTATGGTAAACTTTTAAAACGTTCTTTCTTTTAAATCGTTACCTAAACTCTTGTTAGTGTACAAAACAAATCGAAGTATACCGCTAAGACGGCGTACTTATTTTTTGGGCATTTAATGAATTTTCAAATCACCATTTTTCCAGTGGATGAAATGGTTATATTTATATTACCCGATTCGGGATGTAATTACTTTTGTAAAAATGTTCACTAAAAGAAGTTCTACTGATATCTAACTCCAGTCTACAAACACTATTTAGCTACTTGCAAAGATTATTAATTACTAAAACATTGATTAAGAGGATCATGCAAACAAGAGTATTTGATACATTTTTTAAGTAATAAATTAAATTTAAACCTACGAAGTGCGTTAAATTTATGCGACTAATTGGACTACTAACTAATTTTTCTATTCTTCTTCATTCTACTCAATTAGTAATTAAAGTCAATACATAAACTAGTTAATACAGATTCATAACTTTATTGAAAGTTGCTACAAATCAGATGAAAGAGAAAACGTGGCAGATTAAATATCATTATCGGTATATGGTGCATACAATTGGATATTTGCAAAAATGATAATAAAATATATGACAGTACACAACGATAAAAAAAACTAAGCTAAAGTAATACGCATTTACAAAAATCGTAATCCAATCTAAACTAGGTAAATGGAATATTGTTTTTTAAATATTGGATGCTTTAAAATCAAGAAGTTTAGATTGAATAGAAACAGCAAAAATCAGATGAAAACGAGATGCTGCGAGTACTTAACAATGTTTTTATTGTAATCTTGTGAAGACACCAATTACCGCTCTCTCAAAAATGGTGTTTATCATTTTGTTTCCACTACAATCTTTTTAGAATTTTAGAACTTAAAAATTTTAAAAACTAACACGGACGCTTAGATCGAAGCTATTATTATAGAATTTTGTTTTGTTTTGGAATCATAACTGTACGCCTATGGCTCGATAATGATCTTTCTAAGCATATTTTTATCATCGTTAGTGATAATTTGCAAGTTGTTCAAAGAGCCTTTTAGCTGAATCTATTTCTTTTTATTTGGACAACAATTTTGGAATTAAAGTATGCGTAATTTTAGCATTCTTCTTCTTCTAGTGCTGACTTCACTAATGAAGGTAGACTTCACGATTGAAAATTCGTCTCTATCTTCTGGATGTCGAGGATGTTTTTCAGTTAGGATATTTGTCGTCTACCAGGATCCTTTTTTCCTTAGATTTTAAGCTTCATAATCAGCTGTAACAACTCTCACTTCTCATTTCTAATTATGTGGCCCAAATATGCTCTTTTTTCTTTTAATGGCGGTCAAAAGTTCTCTGTCTCTTCCCATTCTTTGCAACACCATTTCATTCGTAATATCATCGATAATATACGATAGATTCGATATTATTGAGTTACAATGTCAAGTAAACAGAAAAATAAGACTTTAGCTTTGAAAGATAAGCAGTTGGTGAATGTCCAAAAATGCAAAAAGCTCTCTACATGTGGTTCATGCAAGAGCGTTCTAAATACATTCCCGTGTCTAAAAAAATTGTGAAACCAAAATGAACGGAGTTTTACAAAAATCTGCAGTGCAGCAATTTATCCAATATTTTAAAGACAAATTAGAATAACTGGATCTTCTTCCTGGATAAATCTATATTGTAGACGACAGTGGTCTGTTTTTGAGACTGTTGCCCAACAAAACATTCGTATTCTCTAAAGCAGTGAGCGCATTATCTACCAAACTACCTACCAAATTTTTAAAGTTGGATGGATCGTAATGAAACTTATTGCATTTGATTTGTTAGAGTGTCAGAAAATTTTGTGAACAAAAATGATGATGTAGAAATGAAAATTGCAAATTGAACAAGTAAAATGCATTTTCCAAAGTGCGCTTCCAAGTGATGAAAAATTATAAATTTGTAATTCGGAAATAATTGATGGAAACGAGTTCAATATTACTAATCGAAGGTACTGAACACGAATATCATGACGGCGATTTTCTCCCAGGTACCTGGCGCAGCTGGGTCTCATTTTTTTAACCCCAAAAACCCATGAGTAACGAGTTTGCACTGATTTGTATTAAATTTAGACATAACTCCAGAAGACGATGCGTAGGTGCATCAGATGCCCAATATTGATCTCATTTCCGTCAATTATTTCCGAATAAAAAATTTATCATTTTTTATCACTTCGAAGAGCACTTTAGTAGGTTTATGGCGTCATTGCTTCGCCTATTTTGAGACTCACAAATTGGACTTATTAGTTATTGGTAAAGTTAAAAATTTCAGACCTTTAAAAAACATTTATCTGCAACAGGAGCCAATTTAAAAGTTGGACTACGAGAGAGTTATTTAGTGGAGGGTTCCATAAAGATATTTTGTCCCAGAAGTTAAATTTTTAAAAATATTCAACTTGCCTATACAAGCTTTAATTGTACATGACAATACTTCAGATCACCCAAATAACGTGGTCTGAATTATATCAGTAATGGGAATATTCGAACCATCTTTCTATCACCAAACTGCACATCTTTATTGAAGCTGATGGATCAAAATATTCGAGAAGAAGATGTAAGTTCTTGGTTTAAAGGGACTGAAAAAACAGAGCAAGTTATGACAGATAAAGAAATATGTGAAGCAATACAAGAAAAAGAAAGCCTAGTAGAAATATTGGAGCCACCACCTACTATAACTGTAAAAGTAAAACCAGATAAAGCATATAATTATTTCAATACTTGCATAACCTGTATATCTCCTAAAGATATCATTCTTTGAAACATGCGAGAAGAGGTTTTTAAACAAGGACTACAAGCTGCACAAAAAAACCTCAATGAAAGAATATTTTAAACTATCTTGTTCTTCAAGGACCATCTCCACGACGGAGATCGGCAATCAAAGACGGTTGTTCTGAAAAGTTCATTTGGTGTACATTAGTACCATTCTCTCAGGTTGTGCAGTCATGATATTCTACATCTTCCTATGCTTCTCGTGTCTTGTATCTTTCCCTGCATAATCAGTTGGAGCAATTTGTATCTCTCTTTACGTATAATATGTCCGAGATATTTCAATTTTCTTCTTTTGATTGTATTTAAAAGATGTAATTAAAGATAATGTAATAAAAGATGTATTTAAAGATATTGAAGATACTCAAATATTTGCTAATTTGGATTGGAACTAGGTTGCTTAGGTTTGAATTGATAGAAATACATTGAAAACAATATGTTTTAAAATAATTGAGACAGTATTGCGATTTTTGTTTTTGTTATTCAATTAAGAAACAAATTGAATGAAAATGAACAAGAAACACAACTTACAATTTTTTTGTAACCTTCATTTTCGTGGAAGAATCGTAATGGATAATATAATTATCTAGATAGTAGAAACTTACAAATACCTTGGTTACTGTTTTAATGTATAGGCGACAACACTCCAGAAATTGGATGCGGAGTTAAGCAGACAAAACTTCCATTTTAGATTGAGAAAATTTAAAAGAAAACATTAACAAGAGGTCGACGAAAATTGTACTCCATGTGCTCTTATACCTAGCATTACGCTGTGTGTAGTATTCTCTTATGTAGTATTGAGACATTGACTCTAAGAGATGATGTAGATAAGGGACTGCAAACTTTCTTGAAATGTTGTCAATTGTACAAATTGATTGATGTTGTCGAGTGCTATTTTCATACAACAAAGTATTCTATTCTATAAACAATTCTATGGACTCCCAGCAAAAAGAATGAGTATTAATCCAAATCAAACAGAAATTGTTAATACTACCAAAAAAAGAACATTTTGGCCACGATATGATCAAAAATATTAATCAGGTATTAACTTCCAAGGTAAGCGTAGTCGGAGCATATGAAAAATATTATAATCAAAGTATGGACGGTAATGGTACCAGATCACTACTTCCAGCAGCATTAGATAATGTGAAGACCATACTAGGGGTTATAGATTTTACAAGAGGACATGCCTATTGAATAAGAAATTTTTCATATCTATTCCATGCGTTTGCTCATTTTTCATCTCTCCTTGGCAAAAAAAGTAAATATTGTTCTAAAAAAAATTTCATTTGTTCAACATGTATTTATATCTATTAAAATACAGGTATGGTCATAAATACCCATGCATAGTGACAATAGTAGGTAATTTTTATTGTACATGACCAAAGTTTGTTCTATTAACGATCTAGCTCAATGAATTTTAATGTAATGTTTGGAGTAAATATAATACAACACTAAAGTCTATAAAATACATATTTTATTGTGATACTGTTTACTAGAAAATATTGTTTCTAGGCTGGACTACTAGACAACTTTAGAATCTGTAGAGTAGATCAGTAGCCAAAAGAATATTCTCGTTCTTACACAGAACTACTTGCACAATCAGTAGCGTTTGAGAGGCCTAAGTAAGTCATTCGAAGGCAGTATCTTCCTCAAGTACCTGCAATTCAGAACTAGATTATACTTACATCTAAATTAAATCCAGGTACTGTCTTCTTACACCTTGTAATCTTTGAGTTTCTTTTAGGTTATTTTTTAGTGTAGAATATGATCTAAATATACATAAACTTGTACTTACAAAACTAAAAGACTAATATTCTTAATAAGCATACATAAACATATAGTTTATTTATTTATTTAGCGTATGGATAATTACAATACGATAAAAGTAGTATTTAGATAATAATTATGTTCAAATTGGAATTGTAACCCAAGTTAAATATTAAATATTAATGTCCAAATTGCACAGCCATTCAATTGCACCAGGAGAACACTCTGCAAAATCTTGAAGGTCTCCGCTGTATCTGCGGATTGGGCAATCCGCCATGATGTGTTGGATGGTCTGTCTCGGGGATCCACAATCACATTGTGGGCTTTCTGCATGACCCCATCGGTATAGAGAATCGGCATATTTGCCATGACCCGTGCGTATGCGATTTAATTTTGTCCATATAGGGCGTGGCAGTTTTGATCCAGTGAAGCCGATCGACGTACTTGTTATTTTGATGACGTCTGGCTCTGTTGTTGGCATCCATCTTTTCGTCCACTGCTCTTGCTTATTGTAGCTATCACCCATTCCCTGAACGGATTGGACAGGGGGTCGTCTGGACTTCAGTCTTTGTTGGTCTCGTGCGGCGTGCGGAATATACTGGTGAATTGGCAGACGATTGTTTGCCATGATTTTCTGATATTCTCTGACAAGTGCTGCCGTTCGTCGAATATCTGGAGGTGCTATATTGCTCAGAATTGGAAGCCATCTTAGTGGAGTTGATTTAATAGTACCAGATATTACTCTCATAGTGTAATTTAGTTGAACATCAATCTTGTTGACATGAGCGCTATTTAGCCATACCGGTGCGCAGTATTCAGCGACAGAATACACCAGGGCCAGTGAAGAGGTTCGAAGTGTATCCGCAGTGGCACCCTATGTCGTTCCAGCAAGCTTTGTTATTATGTTGTTACGGGTTCTCACTATGGCAGCTACATTCGTAAGATGGGTTTTGAACGTCAGTGATCTGTCGAGCGTTACACCCAGGTATTTAGGGTTGTTATTATGTTTCAAAGTCTCGCCATTGAAGGTGATGCTAAGGGTGTCATCCGAAAGCTGATTTGTGAGATGGAAGAGGCTTGTCTCAGTTTTGTTTGTATTGGGGCGAAGTCGTCATTGTTTAAAGTAGTCGCAGAGAACCCTTAAGTCTTCGGTAAGCGCCCTTTCTCCAACATATAGTTAAAATGCACTTCGGCAAAAAATTATGATAGTTAGGTACTCTCTTAACACATCATCTTGTATTCACATGAATCTTAAATTATAAGTTTTGGCGACCATGTACCTACCGTCAATATTTAGCTGACAGAATCCTAAACAGTAAATGAATGGCTTGGATCCATTATGTCATTTAATTTATATCATTGTTCTATACATTCCTTAATTATATTTAAATATAGTCAAAAAACTTTCTACCATACGATGGTGTAAAGTTTAATTTATTTACCTTAAGAAATTTTCGTAGTTGTATTTTCTTTTTTACAAGACAAATCGGAGACACACAAAGTTTTTCATTTTAAAATTACAAAATTTTGCACATATCGAAAAACACAAGCTGATACGTCAAAAACAATAATCGAAGACATCCTGCTCTATTTAGTTCTCATTTATTTTTTCCTCCTCCTTCTTCTTTCTATCTCAAACTGGATTCTATGTCTTTCGGGCACTTGGTAATAATAACTTTGTATCAAAAATTGTCCTTTCTACACTCCATCAAGAATTCCTGTGTTTTAGGTAAAAAAAACACAGCTCTGGTATAGCTTCACAAATCAGGTCTACAAAAGATACAGGTTCCTATTTTAGTGTCTTGTATACACAACATTAGTTGCCATCCTCTAAATATTAGTTCATAGATTCAAGATACATTAACATAATTAAAAACATATATGAAAATGCCACATGCATATAAAGCTGGACGAAAGCACAAAAACTAATCCCATAAGACTACAACGGGAAGTAAGACAAGGAGACACCATCTCTCCCAAACTATTTACCATTGCTCTAGAAGATATTTTTAAGAAACTGGAATGGAACAATAAGGGTATCAACGTCGACGGATCATACTTAAACCACTTGAGATTCGCAGATGACATAGTTTTAATAGCCGATAATATCCAAGAACTAAATGATATGTTACAATTAAATGCAGTTTCAGGAGCGGTAGGCTTAAAAATGAATTACAGCAAAACAAAAATACTGAGCCGAGACCAGATAAGTATAACAATACAAAATCGTACCATAGAAAATGTGGAACATTATGTATATCTAGGTCATGTTATCAAACTAGGAAAACCAAATCAAGATGCTGAAATTAAAAGAAGAACACAACTGGCTTGGGGCGCTTTCGGCAAACTAGCACATATCTTGAAAATCACCTCCGTTCCTATAAACTTAAAGAAAAAGGTGTATAACACATGCATACTACCTGTTTGTACCTACGGCTTGGAGACAGTAGCACTTACCAAAAAATCTGCCAAAAAATTAGAAACAACGCAAAGAGCAATGGAACGAATCATGCTTGGAATATCACTAAGAGACAAGATTAGAAACACCGAGATAAGACGTAGAACGAAGATTAGGGATATTGTGGAAGAAATTACAAAAATGAAATGGCGCTGGGCATGTCACGTAGCCCGATATAATGACAAAAGGTGTACACGGAGAATTCTAGAATGGAGACCAAGGATGACAACAAGAAGCATGGGAAGACCTCAAAAAAGATGGGTAGATGACATAAGAGCAGTGGCAGGCAAACAGTGGATTAGATTGGCGCAAGATAGAGAAAGATGGAAGCAATTGGGAGAGACCTACATTTAGGAGTGGATGGAAAATGGTTGACAAAGAAGAAATATTGGTTCATTATTCTTTCGGACAATCAGTTTATGGGCCGTTCGGAAGGCATGCACGATACGATAATTTAGTTGAAACGATATTTTGATCGAATCGAGATATTTATTCCCACGGTAAGATCATTTAGTCGAAACAAAATGTTATCGAATCAAATATCTTGAGGCCAGAGCCATAGTTTGTTTGTGGCAACACGTGAATAATGGATGTCAATACGTGTGTTAGGATGTATTGATATCTAAAACGCCGAAAACAATGACACAGAAGGTATTGAGAATATCCTACTGTAAGGCAAATATATAACGCTGCTATGTCGCTGATTTTAAATGTTTATCTTAATAATCATTTATTGTTTTGAACTTTAAAAAACAAGGCTATTA